TCTCATAGGAGCGGGCCGTTCGCCTCCGCAAGTTAATACGTGCATCTATAGTTCATGCTGTTCGACCCTCGGCAGTACATAGTTTATATTTATGTTGGATCGGGTCGTACGTCCTCGGCAGAATTCGTGCGTAACAATAGGATTGGAAGTCCCTTTCACAATTGATATTAATTCATTGTTTGAGAGATTATTTGTTTTAAATGAGGGAAATGAATCGATTCATAAATATGGTAAAAGGAATGTTTAGATATCTCTTACTATGATTTTATTGTCATCTCTATATATCATGTTTTAACTAGAATTTCATATTATCATATTGTTGGCCCTTAGTAAGTGTCGGAGTCGACCCCTCGTCACTACTCCTTCAAGGTTAGACTAGATACTTACTGGGTACATATTATTTATGTACTCATGCTACACTTATGTATTTAATTGTACAGGATATGAGGCAGGTGCATCTGGTTACCACTCCGGTGCGCTGATTTAATCGGCATCTCGAGACTTCACGGTGAGCTGCCTTTTGAGCCGTTCTACAGCAGCTGGAGTCTTCCTTATATTATATTTTCAATCTATTTTCTTTCAGACAGTAGACTAGTATTCTTTTGTATATTCTACTAGAATGTCCACATACTTGTGACACCAGGTCTTGGCACACACACTAGTAGACTTATGATTTTGGGTTGTATTTCTATAGTTATGATTTCATTTAGTGGATTTCGCTTTTGATTGAGTTCGTTATTTATTAAATCCTTTATATTTAAGGAAAGTTAGTTGTTCGAATAACTTAATAAAAATGGAAATCGCCAGATAGTTCACTGTTGGCTTTCCTAGCAATGGTGTTGGGCGCCATCACGGTCTAAATTAGAATTGGGTCGTGACAACCAATTCATTAATTGATCAAGTTTTCGTGCGTAGTAATGTATGTGATTGATCATCAATTAGAATATAATAGTATGTGGGTATGTGCAAAATGACTCATATACTTAATTATAACTTAGAAAATTAAGTTAGATAGATGAATATCAAAGGTAAAACGTCTTAATCGATATCTATTAATCTATGTGAATTGTAATTAGTTATAAAACGAATGAATATATAACACGAAACATGGAATTCGAATAAAATAAACGTCTCATATATATACGTTTATTTATATTATGATTGATTAATTATATAGATGTGTGAATAAAATATATGCTTATAGTTTATTAAAAGTAATTAATTAATATAATTATATATAAAGATTATGCTTATAGTTAATTTTTATATATATATATATATATATATATATATATATATGTGTGTGTGTGTGTGTGTGTGTGTGTGTGTGTGTGCGCGTGTGTGTGCGTGAAGATTATGCTTATAGTTAATAATTATTTATTAGTATATATATATATAT